GCTTAGAAATTACAGCAGTCTGAAATTGATTGCAGTTTTTTCATATCACCCTGTTAAGCCCGAGCTGCTAATAAGCTGTAATATGCTCCCGATATCAATAATATTGGTTACGAGATGTTATATACAACCTATCAACCTGCAGTTCTTAATTCAATAAACCAATGACCTGCATTGTAGGCACACGAAGTAGATTACAGCTGATTAGAATCAAGATAGCGAAATGGGTCAATAGTCCACATTAATATTAGACCAAAGAACTGTGATAAGCGTTCTGGGTTGTCAATTCAATTGAATACTATTAGTTAGGCAAGTCAGAAAAACAACTAACTCAAAACTTAACCACAAAGTAGGCCATTTACCGGCAACGGGAACACATCGCTAAAATGGGCATACGCTCCATTCTCATTATTGCTCTATTTATGAGCTTCGCAATATTCAAATCTGTAGAGGGAGCAAAAATTCTTTCCATCTTCCCCTACTCGGGGCCCTCGCAGTATATTTTTATTTCACCACTGCTAAAGGCCTTGGCGGAAAAGGGCCATGAAGTCACTTCCATATCGACATTTCCTCAAAAGAAACCGTTAAAGAATTTCCGTGATGTTGTTGTTATGGAAAATAGCAATATTTTCGATGGTAAGTTTGCAGTGAGGCTTAAGAATTGTAAAAATTATTTCAAAAAACTTTATTTCAGAAATGTTTACCCAGGCTACGGCCGGCGAGGCTGAAGGAAAATCATTTTTCGAAGAATTTGCGGAACTCAGTTCTTTGGGTGTAACAGCCAGCAGCAATGTCATGGAAAATGCGGATGTAAAGAAACTATTGAAAAATGAAAAATTTGATTTGATTATTATCGAAATTTTTGGCACCGAATCGTTATTTGGTTTGGGTGAATATTTTCAAGCTCCCATGATTGGCGTCTCCACATTTGGTACCATTGGTTTTATTGATTAACTCACAGCCAATCCATCACCAGCCTCATACATACCCCACATGAGTTTGGAGTATGACAGTCATATGTCGCTGTGGCAACGTACAGTCAATATCTTGACCAATGTGGTGGATAATTTGTGTACAAATTTCTTCTTAATAGCGGGTCAAGAGAAAGTCTACAAGAAATATTTTCCCAATGCCAAACTGTCTTTGGATGAGGCGCGTCGTAATGTCTCCTTGGTGTTATTGAATGATCACTTCTCACTGCAAGCACCACGTCCATATGTCCCCAATATGATCGAAGTTGGTGGTTTGCATATTAAACAAAAACCTGATCCTTTGGAAGAAGATTTACAAAAGTTCCTGGACGATTCACCGGAGGGTGTAATTTACTTCTCCATGGGCTCAAATGCGAAGAGTAAAGATTTAGCCCCTCATACCCTACAGGCCATATTGAGTACATTTGCAGAATTGAAGATTAAAGTTTTGTGGAAATTCGAACTGGAAGAATTACCGAATAAACCGGCAAATGTTGTCATACGCAAATGGTTTAATCAACCCTCCATATTGGCCCATCCCAATGTGAAGCTGTTCATTTCCCATGGCGGATATTTGAGTACCACTGAAACGATATTCCATGGTAAACCCATCCTGGGCATTCCAGTGTTGGGCGATCAATTTATGAATGTTAAAAACGCCGTGAAGGCTGGTTTTGCTCTGCGTTTGGATCTAAGGTCCCTTACAAAGGAGCAATTTATGCAGAGCATTCAAGAGCTGTGGACGAATCCCCGTTATACGAATGCAGTGAAAACCTTGTCGAAACGTTATAGGGATCAGCCATTGACGCCCATGGAAACTGCAATCTTTTGGGTGGAATATGTCCTGAGACATGATGGAGCTCCCCATATTCGTAATGCCGGTCAGGATTTGTCATATTGGCAATATCACAATATTGATGTGTATCTACTCTTAGCCAGCTGTATTGTTGTTGTGTTTACATTAATAGCGAGTTTAATTAGATTTGGGAAGAAAATAATTTGTGCTGCTTCAAAATCGATGAAAAAATCCAAGAAATCGAAAATAAAGAAAAATTAGGTGAACGAAATCCAAACATTGAATTTTGTGCGTGATAAGTAAATGATTGATGACGCCGTGGAACAATTTTAGTTGGGGATATTTTAGTGGGGAGTTGTGTTGATGGTATAAAGTCAACTGAGTACAATCATAAATGGACATGGAGTTATCGGCCATTAAGAACCATTATCTACATATGAATACGGACAAGTGGCCGTATCTTTGTTTGTTTAGATTTCAAAACATAAAGGTTTTATAAAACTTAGTAACAAAACGTTATTTTTTATGCTTTTATTTTCTAGCTTTTAAAATGAAATACAATTTTGGGTATGATTTTTCCTATTTTGTACACTATAAGAAAATGCTATAAATTTTATGTTATCCCAGCGTCGACGGTCTTTATAGAGAATTTTAGTATAGAAAATTTGAAGATTTTTCCATACAAAGTCCAGATGGTGAATCAGCTGTTAGCTGCTGACCGCCAATCGCGTCTAATATGCGCTCAAGCCATCCTCAATCACCACCAAGAGGAAGAAGAAGATTTGTAATCAAAAATAATCAAGAGTGATGATGCCCATTTCCATTTTAGCGTTGACGTAAATAAGCTAAATGTACGCTTCTAGGGCACTGTATAACCCACAAAGAGCCATTAAATCCGCTCAAAGTCCTTGTAAGGTGTGCTGTTTTTGCTGCAAGAGTCATCGGGTATTTATACCCTACACCACAAGGTGGTCAGGGTATTATGTCTTTGTGCATTTGTTTGTAACAGGCAAAAGGAAACGAGATAGACCCACAGTTCCTTTTGATGATCTGCATAGAATCACATTCTGAGTCGATTTATGCATGTGCGTCCGTCTGTCCGTCCATGTATTTTTGTAAACAAAGTGCAGGTCTCATTTATTGCCCGATCCAGATGAAATTTTGCACAGATAATTTGTTTGGCCCAAGGATGAACCCTATTGAAATTGGAGATAATCGGTCAAAATTTAGATATAGCTCCCATATATATCTTCGTCCGATTTGTTTTTATTGTGCACCAAACGTGTAATATCAGCCCGAATTGTATGGAATTTTGCATATACACCCAAATTAGGCCTGAAAAAATGTATGCCAAATTTGATCGAAATCGGTTCAGATATAGCTATAGCTCCCATATATATTGTTCATCCGATTTGTTATTTTTGTCCACCGCCGCCGTAATATGCACTCTGCAACAACAGTATTTGGGGAAATATTTCAAATACAGCTCAGAAATACATTTGCTAAATTGTATCGAGATCAGTTCAGATTTGGATATAGTCTTAAAGTCGGCCCGCCCGGTTTTGTTGCACTGACCTGCAAGATCGCCAGTTTTGACCGCTCAAGTCGTGGGTTTGGATCAGCAAGCCTCAAATTCATTCACCTCTTAAAGACAATATCCGTCAAGAATGTGAGGACCTATCGCCGGAAGTTTTGACCAAAGTGATGGAAAGTAGCAAAAAAATACTGTCCATTTTCGCACCTGACCTAGCACTGACCCAAATTTAAGGATTTGAAAAGTTGGAGCAAAATCGGATTATCGTTTCCCTTTCTAGGATTTTATAACCATAGATATTCCAAGGCATATCGGTAAACTTACCATCGAAAATCTTGCTATTTTCCATAACATCAACATCACGGAAATTCTTTAGTGGTTTAGGAGTGATGAAATGAAAATATACTGCGATGGCCGCGAATAGGGAAATATGGAATGAATTTTAGCTCCATCTGCAGACTTGAACATTATAAAGCTCACAAATGGAGCATATATTAAAATGGAGCGTATGCCTATCAAAATATTTTTTGAAAATTTCAAGCTTTTGTGGGGGAGGTACCGGAAGAAGTGCACCGATATATTCCATCTTACCACCAGACTTTGGGTTGATGAAAATATTGGGATTTGAAAACAATAGGACTCTTACATCACATTTTTTAAGAATTGTAATTATTCAAAATTTTGAGCCTTTGTGGGGCAGGTACTTGATGGAGTGGACCGATATTGTCCATTTTCGCACCTGACATAGCACTGATGCAAATATTGGGATTTGCAAAGTTGAAGCAAAATCGGATTATCGTTTCTCTTTCTGTGCAGAAAATATTTTTTTTGAAAATTTCGACCTTTTGTGGGGGAGATACCAGACGGAGTGGACCGATATTGCCCATCTCTGAACTCGATCTAAGTATAACAAAAATATTAGGATTTACCAAGTTTGGACCAAATCTGATACTCTATTCGAGAGTTATCGTGCGCACCAGCCAGACAGACGGACGGACATCGCTAGATCGATTCCAAATGCCCTGAAACGGATTTGGAGAGACTTAGGGTCTAAAACAGTTATTTCGACTAAGCAGGTTTTGACCGTTTCAAATGATATATACCCTCAGCCATATGGATAGAGAGGGTATAAAAAACACTGGAAGTTTACTTTTGCGCTATTGTCCATTTTCGCACCTGACATAGCACTGATGCAAATATTGGGATTTGCAAAGTTGAAGCAAAATCGGATTATCGTTTCTCTTTCTGTGCAGAAAATATATTTTTTGAAAATTTCGACCTTTTGTGGGGGAGGTACCAGACGGAGTGGACCGATATTGCCCATCTCTGAACTCGATCTAAGTATAACAAAAATATTAGGATTTACCAAGTTTGGACCAAATCTGATACTCTATTCGAGAGTTATCGTGCGCACCAGCTAGACAGACGGAGGGATATCGCTAGATCGATTCCAAATGCGCTGAAACGGATTTGGAGAGACCTAGGGTCTAAAACAGTTATTTCGACTAAGCAGGTTTTGACCGTTTCAAATGATATATACCCTCTCTAGCCATATGGCCATATAAAAAACACTGGAAGTTTACTTTTGCCCCACCTAAAGTTAGCGCCGCACGATTTTTGGTCTTTCTTTACGTAGGTAACATTTGCAGTGCTTCGACAATTATTTCGTAGCCTCTCTAAACAGTGAACACATTTTAATGGTTTAATTTTTCTTTATTTTAGATTTCTTCGAACTACCACAAATAATTTTCTTTACGAAGCTAATAAAAACAGCCATCAGTACAAACACAACAACAATAAAACTTGATAAGATTACGTACACATCAATATTGTGATATTGCCAAAATGACAAATCTTGACCGGCATTGCGAATATGCGAAGCGCCATCATGTCTCAGAACATATTCCACCCAAAAGATTGCAGTTTCAATGGGTGTCAAAGGTTGATCTCTGAAACGTTTCGACAATTTCTTAACAGCATTCGAATACTTGGGATTTGTCCACAGTTCTTGGATGTTCTGCTTGAATTTCTCCTTTGTAAGAGACCTTAGATCCAGACGCAAGGCAAAACCAGCCTTCACTGAATTTTTAACATTCATAAATTGATCCCCCATCACTGGTACACCCAGAATGGGTTTTCCATGAAATATGGTTTCGGTGGTACTTAAATATCCGCCATGGGAAATGAAAAGCTTCACATTGGGATGGGCCAATATGGAGGGTTGATTAAACCATTTGCGTATGACAACATTGGCCGGTTTATTCGGCAATTCTTCCAGTTCGAATTTCCACAAAACTTTTATTTTCAATTCTGCAAAGGTACTCAAAATGTCCTTCAGAGTTTGTGGGGGTAAATCTTTACTCTTGACATTCGAGCCCATGGAAAAGTATATTACACCCTCCGGTGAGTTGTCTAGGAACTTCTGTAAATCTTCTTCCAATGGATCGGGTTTTTGTTTAATATGTAAACCACCAACCTCAATCATATTGGGGACATAAGGGGACATTGCTGAGCTCCATAAATTCTTCGAAAAATGATTTTTCTGCACCCTCACCGGCCGCCAACTCGGTTACCATCTCTAGAAAACAGTACTTTTGAAATTATTTTCAAAATCCAAGGCATAACAGTAAACTTACCATCGAAAATTTTGCTATTTTCCATAACAACAACATCACGGAAATTCTTCAGTGGTTTCTTTTGGGGAAATGTCGATATGGATGTGACTTCATGGCCCCTTTCCGCCAAGGCCTTTAGCAGGGGCGAAATAAAAATATACTGTGATGGCCCCGAATAGGGAAATATGGAAAGAATTTTAGCTCCCTCTGCCGAATTGAATATTGCAAAGCTCACAAATAGAGCAAAAATTAGAATGGAACGTATGACCATTTTAGTGATGTGTATGCGTTGCCGGCCAATTGACTAATGTGAGGGTAATCTTTTCATCTGTTGTTTGGTTGACTTCAACAGTCTGTGTGTTCTTTAACTAAATAATATAAATTCGCAATTGAATTGATGATCGAGACCACTTATCGTTCTCTCTAATCTAAATATTAACCTAGAAGCTATGCGCCGCTTTCACAATTTCAAGTTCAGTATCAGCGTTGAAGGTTATTGTATTTTATTAAATTAAAAACAACAACAAAAACGGAATGGCATTGAAACGGCTTGTAGAAGTGCAAGTCAGAACGCAATATGGTGATGATTTTATTTTAATGTTATTAATGTGCAAATTTGCAGATTAATTTGAAGTGAAGTATCGGCTGGGTAAAATTAATGCAGGCAAACACGTCACACACTTCTATTAAATCCCAACAAAAACTTAATACCTTGTGCATTACAGATAATTTCCTGCCATAGGCTGTAGTATCTATTACGAACTTCAAATACCAAATTTGAAACAATTCTGGTGAATAATGTCGCTAAAATAATCAAAATTCCGAATATCGGGAGTTACCGTCATATGGTGGCTATACGAAGACGTGAACCTGCACAGACAATTTTCTGTCATAGGCTGTAGTATTTTTTACGAACTTCAAATGCCAAATTTGAAACAATTCCAGTGAATAATGTCGCTAAAATCATCAAAATTCCGAATATTTGGAGGTACTATTATGTGGGGAATATAACAAAATGTGGAGCTACATGGCCCATTTTTAATACCAAAAGTCCTGCAGACATAATATACATTTGAGTAAAATTTTATCAATCTACTTCATTTCGTTCGGAAGCTAGAGTGATTTTCACAGACGGATAGACGAGCGGACATTGCTAAATCGACATAGAATTTTATGCTGATCAAGAATATGTATATACTTTGTGGGATCTAAAATGTATATTTCGAGGTGTTACAAACGGAATGACAATCTTAATGTATCCTCCATACTATGGTGGAGAGTATAAAAATGGGGATTGTGGTAGAATTATTTCTCAATTTTAATACCCTCAGCCATCACATCACACCACACCTCGGGCCAAAATTTTGAACAATTATAACTCTTTTAAAATGTGATGTAAGAGTCCGATCACAATATTATATTAACCCAAGGTTTGGTGTTGAGATGGAATATATCGGTCCACTCCTTCTGGTACCACCCTCACAAAAGGTCGAAATTTTGAATATCAATTATGCTCATAAAACGCGAAATTAACATCCGATTCCATTTAGACTTGGTACATCTGAATATTTCTTTCAACGCAGGATATGTTAAACCAGTAAAGAAAGACTTTAAGTCGGGCGGGGCCGACTTTATGATACCCTACACCACTTTGCTAATTTAGTAGAGCTCCACATAACAATTAAAAGTTTTTATGGGAGAATTCAATCATATACGTTATGATTAAAATTATAATTTAAAGTTCAAAAGAATAAATATGCCGAAGCATTTGTATCTTTTAAATTCGGACTTGTTTTGCCCATTTGGTGCAAAATAATTTCAAATCAGATAAAGATATATATTAGAGCTATATCCAAATCGGAACAGATCACGATAAAATTTGGCAAATATATTTCTGAGCTGTATTTGATATATTTCCCTGAGCTATAGCTATATCTGAACCGATTTCGATCAAATTTGGCATACTTATTTTCCGGTCCAATCTGATCGTACGTGCAAAATTCCATACTATTCGCACTGATATTACACGTTTGGTGCACAATAAAAGACAAATCGGACGAAGATATATATGGGAGCTATATCTAAATTTTGACCGATTATCTCCAATTTCAATAAGGTTCATCCTTGGGCCAAACAAATGATTTGTGCAAAATTTCATCTGGATAGAGCAATAAATGCGAACTGTACATTGTTTACAAAAATACATGGACAGACGGACGGACGGACATGCATAAATCGACTCAGAATGTGATTCTATGCAGATCATCAAAAGGAACTATGGGTCTATCTCGTTTCCTTTTGCCTGTTACAAACAAATGCACAAAGACATAATACCCTGACCACCATGTGGTGTAGGGTATAAAAACACGGTAGAGCTCGGACCATTCCTTCTGGTACCTCCCCCACAAAGGGTCAACGTTTTGAATAACCAAAACGTTTATATTTTATCAGGTTCTTCTTATATTTCACGCATCCCTATATTTCTACTAACACAAGATCTGGTGTGAAGATGAGATATATCGGTCTACTCTTTTTTGGTACCTCCCCCACAGAGGCTCAACATTTGGAATATCCATGAAGCTCACAAAAAGCGAAGTTAACATCCGAATTCATTCCAGTCTTGGTACATCTCAATATTTCCATCAACACAACAGATCTGTTATAAAGATGGCAGAGATCGGACCATTTATTTGCTACCTGCCCCATATAGGGTTCTAGATTTTGGAAAACAAAATGCTCAAAGAAACGAAAAAAGCATTAAACTATTTTCAAATTTCACACATACAGACATTTTTGCTAATACAAGATCTGTTGTGAAGATGATAAGTATCTGCGAATCCCTTCAGGTACCTCACCCATAAAGGGTCATAATTTTCAATACTTCTATCTTGCGAAACAAGTCTGCGATTTTTGCTATCTATCAAATATTCCTCTCAACCAGAAACCTGAGATGAATATGGAATTTATGATTTTGCATAAAATTGGATACACATTTTAGATTTAATTTTGCCCATACTCATATTTTTATCTGGATTAGATGAGATATGAAAATGGAATACTTCGGTCGACTATATGTGGCACCTCGCACACACTTTTAATATTTTCTTAAAATAAGCACATACCTCATTTAAAGTGAAGGAAGCAGCCGATATAGTTCATACATGGCACGTCGCAATATTTATATCATATTTTTTTAGGTGCAATACGAAATGGACTATATTGGCCTATTCCTTCGGAACCTACTCCATAGAATGTCAACAATTTGAATTGTCTAACAGAAGTCAAAATATATTTTTTAATGATCGAACATTGGCTGAGGGTATACAGGGTTGCCCATATTTGACGGACCCATGTTTAAATCAAAGAAAAATATAAAAATTTGGCGGTTGGCAATGATAATCATTTAATTTGTTCCAAGTAGATTTGTTTACATCAATTTTTGAGTATGATATCTCTCAAATGGCCGCCTTTGGCGTTGATGACGTATTGTGTCCTTTTTGCTGCATATTCCATCGTTTTTGCCAACATTTCGGCCGGAATAGCGGCTATTTCTTCACGAATGTTGTCCTTAAGCTCTTCTACGGTCCTTGGCTTGTTAACGTAAGCCTTTGACTTCAAATATCCCCACAAGAAGAAGTCAGGCGGCGTCAAATCGGGCGAACGCGGTGGCCAGTCCAAATCACCACTTTTCGACATCAAACGGCCCGGAAACAAATTCTTCAGAAAATCGATTGTTATGCGACTTGTGTGCGGTGGAGCGCCGTCTTGTTGATACCAGAACTGCCTCATACGCTTTCGACGAATAATTGGCATCACAAAATTGGTCATCATGTCGCGATAACGCTCCTGATTGAAGGTAACAGCATGGCCATTTTCAGTTTGGAAAAAAAACGGTCCAATGACCGTTTTCGCACTAACGCCGCACCAAACTGACTTTTTCGTCATGAAGAGGCACTTCTTGAATCTCCTGAGGATTTTCAGTGGTGTAAAAACGGCGATTTTGCTTATTTACGGTCCCATTCAATGTGAAATGGGCTTCATCGGACATGATAATTTTGTTCCAAAATTGCTCGTCATCTTCGGCCATTTCGATGACTCTTTGGGCCCATTCCAATCGACGAGGCTTGTCCGCAGGCAACATTATTTACGTCAATTGAATTTTGTGCGGGAACAAATGCAAATCAATGCGAATAATCAGTTGTAAAGTGGACTGAGCCATGCCCAACTGCTGAGAACGGCGTTTTTGGGATGTTCTTGGGGACCTCTCAACACTGGCTCATACGGCAGCGATATTCTCGGCCGATCACCTAGGTCGACTTTTATATGGCCTCTTTGGATTAGAAAGAGCCTTACCAGTCGAAAATTTTTCTTATAAACGCTTAATGGTGTTCTTAGAAGGCGCACTTCTCCCATTTTTTAATGTTTTAAAAGCACGTTGAGTTTTCACAATTGACTTCTTCTGTTGAATGTAAATTCAACTATTTCAGAGCGCTCGCGTGGCGTGTGATGGTTCATGGTAAAAATCAGCTTGGGCTGACGCTTCCAACGCGGTATGTCATTAAGCGATATGACATCTCTGTCAAAAGTTATGGCGTTGCCAGTTGGGTCCGTCGAATATGGGCAACCCTGTACATCTGTCGGCAAAACCGACTGATACTTTTTAACATTTTGTCTTTAAAATATATTCTTATTCAATTAATTCTGCAAATACAGTTACGGTACCTTTTTATCGATTTTATTGATATATAATACTCGATTTACTTCCAATAATTACCCGTGGAAATACCGTTGGTTTCCACAGCAAAAACCATAACACGTGTAACTTTGAAGCAAAAAAAACTTTAGATCAAAATATTGCCAATATTGTAAACACGTGCAAGTGAAATACTCTCAGGTATCACAGGCGAAATATTGTCCACAGTCAGGTAGAGATCCATTGCGGCAGCAACTTTAGAATCCGTATTGTACTTTGATTTTTATTTTATTCACATATCGCATCATTTACTGCTACAATAATCACCATCGCGTCGTGTAACTGTATATTTCATAATTTGTACTTTCGCATTTTCTTTTGCTCTAACAACTTTCGTTTTTTTTCTTTCAGGTTGATATCAGAAGTTTGTAACTTTTTACTTACACCTTGTCTTTCCTTCGTTTTTCGATATCACCACGGCAAAAATTACATTTACCCTGCACGTGTGGGTGAGCCCAGGACGATGTTGATTTGTACAAATGAAGTTGTGGTTTTATATTTCATTACAAATTACCGAGGGTGGGATGGGATAGGATGTTGCGTGCAACAACAGCAGCAGCAGGAGGATTAAAACTTTTACATTTTATTTAACCTTAATTTAATATGCTGGCGAAGTATGCAAGTTTTTCAGTTTTAAACATAAAAAAAAAACAAAACTCAATGATAAAATA